CACACACACTCAACACACCTCCACGACCCTACAGGAAGCCGCAGCCCGGCCGGGCAGGCCTCTGGCCGTCGCCCCCGCCTCGAGCTCGCCGGTGATTATCGTCCTCTGCCCCCTCCCTCTCCAGAGCTGCTCGAGCTCCACCAACTTCTCCGGCGTATCCGTGGTGGTTCACTAAAGCGTGCTAGTGCCGTTAGAGCTGCTGGACCGGCCCTGCCTCGCCGGAATCGCCAACTCCGACGAGCCCCGCCCGCTGCCGCCGCTGTAGAGCTCCGTTCCAACCCCGTCCGGCCACCTCTAGGCACGCTATGGGTACGGGCAGGTGCGCCTCAATCTCCTCTACAACCCTATCCCTGTAGATCTCGTTGCCGGGCACTCCTCGCCGGAGAAAGCGTCGTCGATGCGCCGCCTGCCTCTGTTTCTTTTCCCCTCCCCCTCCGACCTGACCGCTGGGGCCTACTGTCAGCCACCCAGGCCGCGGCCGAAGAGGTATGTGTGGTGACGCCCAGGCGGTTTACGCCTTTGACGTCACCCCCTCCCCCCGGTTTTTCTTTTTAATTCAAATTAGTTCAAATTTGACCAGAACTTTGACCAGCTATAACTCTTATTCTACAAGTCCAAATGAGTTGATTCTTTTTTGCATTATGTTCTTACTGGAAAATCCTAGCAGCACACCCAAGATGGGATTTTTCCTTGCTTCCTAGAATTTCTGGTAATTTTCAGAAGTGTTCTTGCTATTTTCTTTTTGTCATTTGAATTATTATCAGAAGGTGAAGCTTGTCTTGAAGGCATCCAGGAGGAGTGTGAAGCTCCTCTGCACTAAGGCAAGCCACAACAACATTATCAAGGTGTCTTTGCAATATCCATGATTTTCTACTTGAATATATATGTTATTCATTGCATATAGTATTATGATTAAATAATGCTTGTGTTATTTAGTTTGTCATGATCAAAATGCTTAGTTAACAGAAGTGAATGTTTGAACTAGTGAGATATAGCTTGAGTAGTTAATCTAAGTAAATTTGTCATGCCTATGGTGATATGATCATCGGTCTTATTTTTCCTAAGTGCTAAAAATGAGTTTTATTTGATTAATGCCAACTAAGGTGATGAGTATAAATAACAAGTAAGAAAGGACCAGAAATGTTGAAAGTTAAGTTTGTGCAAGTAGATCTTTAAATGAGGTTGGTCTGTTATTCCTAAGTGATATGTGATGCATGATATATGGTTGCATAAGCATGCCATATATTGACTCGAGCATTTTATTTCAAGTTAAAGCTGATGATAATTGAACTTGAATATAAAGTTAGTCGGGTCATGGTGCCACTGAATCGGGCTGACAAGTGCAACCATATTTTCCTTTATGGGAAGGCCGTTAGTCGTCCTGTTGTCATGCCTTTTTTCGGAGCCTCCATGTCCTGTTGTCATGCCTTTTTTCGGAGCCTCCAACGAGGAAAGGTTATGGGCATGTGTTACCCTGGCCCGATAAGAAGACATAACCTTGTGGACCTGTTGTTGTTATGGTACTGTGTCCCCGTTCGGGACTGTTTATTTGCCACGACGGTGGTAGTTTTGCCTTTAGTAGGCTGGGTCACCCAGGACTAAGCCCAGTGGGGAGTTGGTCGGAGTGGCCGCAAGGGTGTCATGGCAATGGGAGAGTTCTGCCGGAATGCCGTTGGTCCACCTGAATGGGAGTGCGAGGCCATGGGTTCCGTGGTGTGGGTAAAGTGCGCTACCTCTGCAAAGTGTATTAATCTATCGATAGCCGCGCCTGCGGATAAGGGCCCAGTTCGTAAGTAAGTCACACCATGGATTAACTTTTAATAATAAAGCTTGTACACTAAGTAATTTGCATTGCACTGGTTGGATTATGATGAAGTCAGTAAGACTGACTGTTGTGGTATCACTTGTGATCCGAGATTGGCCACTTCTAGTTACGAGGTAACCAGAAGTTGATTTTCTTTAAACACTTCTTTGAATTGATAGGATTTTTTTCCACTGTATATTGCAACAAATATATGTATATTTTCGAGTTCTTCCATATGTTGTAACAGGGATATATTATATCTGCACGAATATTTAGGATTCTCAAATGTTGATATGGATGCAAGTCTAGCAGCCAAAAAACAACAACGTGAAGCAGTCAAGAAGACCCTGACAGATGAAAAGGAAGAACCAGAAGCTGTCAAGCATGTTCTGACAAAGCAACAGGACGAACGTGAAACTGTCAAGCATGTCCTGCCAGAGCATGCCACGAAGAAGCAGAGCTAGCAACAGCTATAACTTGAAGCTGTCAAGAAGATCCTGCCAGAGCAACAAGAAGAACGTGAAACTGTCAAGCATGTCCTGCCAGAGGAGTAGCATGAACTTCAATCTATCAAAAATACCCTTATAGAGAAGAAGAAAGTACTTGAAGCTATCAAGAAGGCTCTGCGATAGCAGCATGATGAAATTGAAGCTCTGACAATTGCCATGCTAGAGCTGCACCAACATCTTAAATCCATCAATATTGCCCTTGTAGACCAGTAGGAGAACTTGAAGCTGACAACAATCCCAAGGAAAGCAAAACTCTGGCTTTTGAAAAAAGCTTAAATGATATTTATGGAATATTGAATTATGAATTTTTGAGAACTATGACAAAAATTCTTGTCTGGACCTACCTGTAAGTAGCCATGTCAGCATGTACCGGACCCATATACCAGTATCGTTGATCGGTCAAATCTGAGACTATATTTGTTATTGACCGGGACCGTTGGTGAAAAAATCTTAGCCGGACCCACATGGAAGCAGCCATGTCAGCATATGCTGAACCCATTTGGCAGAATCATGGACTGATCAAACTAATTAACCGCTTACTAGTGTCAGTTCATCTTCACCAAAAACGATCTTAGGTGATAAACCAGCCAATCAATGGTGGCTGTCCTGGCCGTCACAGAAAATGGACTTCCGTGATAGAAGTCGATACGTCACCTAAGGTACAAACTTCAGCGACAAAAAAGTGGAAATGTCAAAATTTTGTTTTTCGTGGATGATGTTCCAGTGACAATGGGGATGATGACGAAAATCGGTTTTATGTGACCCAAGTAAACTGCCGCTAAAAGTCCTTTGTTTTACAGTGCCGCTACATCGTGTTTCGGAGAAGATCTTACTTTTTAGCACTAATCCAGAGGGGCAAGCCATCTTGATCATCACCAACCTTGATCCACAAGCTCAATGATGAGTGGTGAGTAGTCCACTGCCTGGGCTATGGGTTCATGGCAGTATCGAAAGTTGGAGACGTTTTTTTATAAAAGGAACATGTGTGAAAAATAGTATACTCTCTTCTTGATTAATGGATGAACTAAATATTATGGCTATGTTTTGAAATTAATAAATAAAAGAAAACCACAGCGAGTGGAGAAATGTAGCTCTCCACCTGTCTGTTTCTTTCTTCTTGGCACACGGACTTGACTTGTCCTCCCCCGTTTTTTTTTTCTCCGGACTTTCCTGTTTTTCTCGAATCCACTCATGGTGGAAATTTTGTCACTCCCTCCCACAACCACTCGTACCTTGCCAGTCATTTTACATGTCCCTTTCGACTTTGTTTGATTGTCATTTGTCAAGCACCAAGTTTGAATGTTCCGACGATTCCTGAATAAAATAAATTAGTAATTTCCCATGTCTCCGAGTTTCCTTGGTGACCCCTTCAAAAAACTTTTATTTCCGATCGTGACCGTTAGGCGATAGTTGCCGATCATCGTCAGAACGAGTCGCCCTCGCGCTGTTGTCGCCGCTCCCCGACCGGAGCTGGCTTGACCTTCTCGATAACAACCTAGAATTCTTCGTGCACCTGCCCCAAAGGACCAGCACCCTGGAGCCGCAATCATCATCGTTGAAACCCTAAATAGATCTGAAATACCTGACACCAAATCTTGATACATAACGAGAAACCCAAACCTCACCATCCAAAGGAGACGGTAGAAATCTACGCCAGAGCTCCGTCGACTACGTCAAGATGAACGAACTTGAGAAGGATCGCAGCCCAGAAGACAAATGTGAAGAAGAAGCGCCACCGTCCGTCCAAGCGCGCACCCGCGAGGACAGCAAAACCCTAACCTAACTACTTACCGGAGGGGCGGATCGTTCTGACGGCAATAATTGTTGTTCTCGAAATCCCGATATAATTTTTACAAAAATTCTAAATGCACGGACTGGTTACTGGGTTTTATTGGCAAATTCCAAACTAATCTTCTCCCCCACCCCGATTTTCAGTGGGGGTGGGCCCTCACCATAATTCTGCCCAATCAAAGCATGCCAATCAAGCCAGTCCGTTGATCACGTAAAAAAAAGCCCGTGCATGTTGCGTTGCTCTAATTTCTATTATGTCTGAGATACTTTATACTTCCGATAAACTTTTGGATCCTTTCTGAAAAAATAGTGTGTATACTCTATGCAGAAAAATACATACAAATACCCTGCAAAAAAAAGAAAATACATAGAAATGAATTCACAAGCCACCTCACTTGACCGACTCCATGTGCCCCGCTCATTTCTTCCTGATCGCGACCTCACTGGACCCAGCAGACCTAAATGCACGGCATAGAAATTTAGTTTGAATGAAACGTGGGACGACTAGTCGTCCATAGAAAAGTTCCCGCAAGTCCAGCATTATTAGTACCCATCGTACTCCTTTCGCCATCAGCAGCTGCGCCAAGGCAGCAACAGTTTGGTCCGCTCTGTTCGTTTCATCTTTTGTCATTGTCGGGCGTCAACCCACCGTTATCGCCGGTCTCCGCCCTTGTATTTACTGGACGATACTTTTACCTCCGTAGCCTCTCGACCTCCACGGCCTCAGCAGTTGAACTCCATGACGATGGTGGCCATGCTACGCCGCCTTGCTCTTTCCTGCTACCTCGCCGCCGCCCTTCTCCTCCTCGTGTTCCTCAACGCGCCGCTCACGGGCGCGCAGCCGCTGCCGTGGCAGCTGTGCAACGCCACCGCGGGGAACTACACGGATGGCAGCGCCTACCAGGCCAACATACGCGCCCTCGCCAGCGCCTTCCCCGTGAAGGCCTCCGCGTCCCCGGCCCTCTTCGCCAAGGGCGCGGCCGGCACAGGATCGGACGTCGTCTACGCGCTGGCCCTCTGCCGCGGCGACACCAACGCCTCCTCCTGCTCGGCATGCGTCACCGCCGCCTTCCGGAACGCGCAGCAGCTCTGCGCCTTCAACAAGCGTGCCACCATGTTCGACGACCCCTGCATCCTCCGCTACTCCGACCAGGACTTCCTGGCCAACGTCACCGACAACAGGGGGAGGTCCGGCGCATTCAATGCCAACAACGTCAGCGCGGCATCGGCGGCAGCCTTCGACGCTGCCTCCGGCCGGCTGGTCAACGCAACCGCCGACTACGCGGCGGAGGACTCGAGCCGGCGATTCGGCACGGGGGAGGTGGGGTTCGACCAGACTTATCCCAGGATTTACTCCCTGGCGCAGTGTACGCCGGACATGTCGGCGGCTCAATGCAGGAGCTGCCTCAGGGACATCATTGTCCAGTATACTCCTCGATATTTCCTTGGAAAGCCGGGCGGGAGAATATTCGGCGTGCGCTGCAGCTTCCGGTTCGAGACGTACTCTTTCTTCCTTGGGCGCCCGCTGCTGCAACTGCCCGACGCGCTGTCTCCTGCACCGGCGCCAGCGGCCGCCACCAGAGAAGGCAAGTTCTCTCCTGCTTGATTGGTGTCATGTGTGAAAGAAATCTTCGACTAGAGGAGAGGAAAATTATCTGAAAATCCACATCATTAATTTGTTTGCATGGCACTTGCAGGAAGAAGTAGGCATAGGACTGGACTGGTCTTGGCCATTACACTGCCTACCGCTGCTGCACTACTACTTCTCATTTCAATGTGCGTTTGCTTTTGGAGGAGGAGCAAACCAGCAGTACCATGTAAGCTAGCCCTTCTCCTATGGACAGCATTAATTAAACTATTTAGAGTATCTACAGTCCGCCAAACCAAAACATCCGCGGACGCCACCAGACGCGCGTCTGCAGACAGTGCTCCTTTTTCACCCATTGCAACCATATACCTCACTGAAATCCATACTAGATCATGCAAAGGCTACATCCTACATAGATAAACCTAGCCAACATGTACTCATCGTTAGAGATATAGACGGCATTCGTGCCGGCAGTGACAGACCGACCTACCACCTGCCGTATGGCCACCCCACACAGCTCCGGCTCCTCATCGGACTCCATGTCCATGATGATTGCATCCAACTCCGGCCACTTATTCGCCAAGGTAACGGCGGTTTGCCTCCACCTCCGTCTTCGAGCGGATAGAGTCTAGGATGACCTGCTGCTCCATCGCGTGCCCCTGCAGATTCTGGTTTGAGCAATCGGAAGCGCCGACTCTACTTTGCCTTCCTCTTCCTTCTCCTCCATTGCCATGTCCACCGCCTCCTCGTCCTCCAAAGAGTCTGGAGGCAGGCTGGTTACAGTACGAGAAGCGCACAGGGGTTGGATCAGCTCTTGGAGCTGCCAGTGGATGTGGGTGGCGGCACAGTGTGATAGAAAAAGTGGGATGCCGTTAGGGTTGGTGGTTGCCGTCTTGCTTAAATAGCCGATCTTGGCCCCTTTTGTCGGCGTGTCCTCAGCGTACTGTTGGTAATAACGGGTGTTCGGCTGGGGCCCACACATCAATCCGACATGACATGTGCGGTCGGGCGTCTCATATCCGCCTCACCTATGGGCTAGGTATGAGGAGTGTCAGACAGTCGAAACGTTTAGGCCGAATTTGTAAGGTCTAGTTGGGTGGCAAAATAATAACAGGGCAGTAATCGGGCAGCCCGCCCGGGCGTTTGGGGCCGATTGGGGACCCTGGTTGCAGATTCTCTTACCAACATTAGCAGTCTACACACAGTCAATGGATTAGTTGGCCCAAGACTAACACAAGGGGAATACTGATTACCTGATGCACCACTCATATTCCAGCCAGTGATGCAATCGCACTGCCTGCCAGAAAATCTCCTAATATTTTATTACCTTTAACTGCTCATGCTTAATTCATTGACTCCGCATGTTCAGAAAAATAGTTTTTTGTGTAATTGACTGAGATTTGATTCTATTGTCTGGGTCTAATATTTTATATATATGCTGATCATCATTGTTCGCCTACAATATTTTTGTTGCAACAGATTCAACTAATCAGGATGAAATCCAAAGCATCGATTCCCTCCTTCTTGACTTATCTACCCTGCGGGCCGCAACAAATAACTTTGCTGAAAGCAACAAGCTTGGCGAAGGAGGGTTCGGTGCGGTTTACAAGGTAAGTGTCAATCCTGCATTCAAACCATATATAGTACACACCCTCTGTAAACTAATATAAGACCTTTTAGATCACTAAGGAAATGACTTAAAAGGTCATATATTAGTTTACAGAAGGAGTACTACATACTCCCTCCGTTTCACAATACATGCCTTTTATTTATCAAAATATAGATGTATCTAGACATGTTTTAGTATATAGATGCATCCATTTTTGGACAAATGAAAGTCAAGTATTTTGAAACGAAGGGAGTAGTATGCAAAATGTTGATTGTATTGTCATTTCTTTGGTAGTAACGTAACGTACTGGACTGCATTGCACAGGGTGTCCTTTCTGAAGGTGGTCAGGAAATAGCAGTGAAGAGGCTTTCGCAGAGCTCCACGCAAGGAATAGAAGAGTTGAAAACGGAGCTGGCTCTAGTGGCCAAGCTTCAGCACAAGAATCTCGTGAGGCTCGTTGGTGTTTGCTTGGAAGAAAAGGAGAAGCTACTCGTGTATGAATACATGCCGAACCGGAGCCTCGACACCATTCTCTTCGGTACGTTCCATCACCTCTCTCTCTAGTCATTTTTGGGAGCACTCTCGCTGTCTCTGCCCTGAATTATGATGGTCCGTTGGAGCAGATTCTGATAAAAGCAGGGACCTGGACTGGGGGAAGAGGCTGAAGATCGTGAGCGGGGTCGCTCGGGGCTTGCAGTACCTCCATGAAGACTCGCAGCCAAGGATCATCCACCGGGACCTCAAAGCGAGCAACGTGCTGCTGGACTCAGATTGGAACCCAAAGATTTCGGACTTCGGTTTGGCAAAACTGTTCGGTTGGGATCAGTCACAGGCCTTCACCAGCCACATCGCTGGAACATAGTAAGCACAGCCTAGATAACACAATGCTAATATTTCATGGTAGAGCACATTTATTTATTTACACAACGAGGTTTTGCTCGCTTTGCACACAGTGGATACATGTCGCCGGAGTACGCGATGCGCGGGCAGTATTCGGTGAAGTCGGACGCCTACAGTTTCGGCGTTCTGGTCTTGGAGATTATCACGGGAAGGAAGAATAGCAGCTTCGCCAACTCGGAGCAATCCATTGACCTCTCAAGCCTCGTGAGTGCTACCGCTCAAGCTGATAGATAGATATATGTACACATCATTGTAACACATGTATGCATGCTTGCATAGGTATGGGAGCACTGGACCAGGGGAACGGTCGAGGAGCTGCTGGATCCGTCCTTGGGAGGCCGTTCTCCGGGAGGCCATTTGCTGAAGCTGGTTAACATCGGGCTGCTGTGTGTCCAACACAACCCCGAGGACAGGCCGACCATGTCGATGGTCAACGTCATGCTCAGCAGCAACACAGTATCTCTGCAGGCGCCGTCGAGGCCAACATTCTGCATCGACGAGATGGAGGGTTTCTCGGGCATGTACTCTACCGAGGGTAGCAAGCCAGAGGGTGTGTCAGTGAACGAGGTGTCACTAACGTGCCCGGATTCATAGTTTATCGCCTTTAATTAACTGGCTATAACTCTCCATGGTAAGAACGCTAGTACAATAAGTTGGATTATGTGCACCTTGGAGTGCAGATATCGAATTCGGATGTTTATCTTTTTGGCAACTTTTTCAGTTATGAAACTATATCTGTAAATCTCTACTTCTAATGGAGCAGTTGGTAGTCTCCGCCGTTCAATTTTCGTCCCACCTTCATTGGTTTTTTTTCGTCCTAAACAAATTTCGTAGATTAACCAGGAAAAACCAGCGAACAAAAAATCGGACGATGCCCTAGCTCCCTCCGCCCGCGGGTCGCCCGCTCCCTCGCGCCCCTGTTGCTCCCTCCTCGATCCCGATCTGGATCGAGGGGACGAGGAGCTCCTGCCTCCCCGACGGCCGACCTCCTCCTCGCCCCGCCGCTGCGTCCGGCGCCGCCACGGCCTCTGGAGCCAGGGAAGCCATGGCCTGAGCTCGGCCTCGAGGTCCCCGCCGCCGTCTCCTGCCGCTTCTGCCCCGCCGCCTCACCGCCCGAGCTCGCCGTCGCACCAACCTCGGTGCCGCGCCGCCGCCGGCTCTGGTCGCCTCCACCTCCGCGCCATGAGGAACCCGCCACACGCGTCAAGGCAAGGCGCCTCCTGGGCTCCGTCCGTTTCCAGAGCGAGCGCCCGCGAATACCTAGCTAGCCGCCGCCGTCGTGACCGTTCCAGCCACCGCCAAGGTAAGGTGCTTTCTCCATCTCAATTTCCTTCCTTCCCCATGAAGGTTAATTTGGATCCGTCCATGTCGCCGCGCCCGCCCAAACCGTAGGCCACACTTCCTCTTCCACCTCCGCGTACTCCTGGTTGCAGCCCCAGCTCTTCACGGGCAGGGATCTGCGGCTCGCCGGCGTGGCCCGTGGCAGGGGAGAGAAGGGGGGCATGATCGGCGGGGCGGAGTTCTTTCGGAAGGACAGTGTGGTGGGCAACATGGACGGATACCTCAACTACCTGTCCCTCGAGTATGACTTCGTCTCGGACACCAATCCTGCTTGGTAAGACTTCCCGGCTCTTTCCTCCCTTCTATCCGTTTAGAAACTGAAAAGGTTGTGATGCAAATTCGATTTGTTGCTACCTGTATTCAGACTGATCTGCTATGGGTGTGGTTCCTTGTGGCAGAGTTCTTTATATTCCAATTAATTTCAAAGCAGATCATAAACCGAGATCTACTTTTCAATTTATACTGTATCTCAGATCTCATTTGTGCCTTGAATATTAGCTTCTTCATGGCAATTTCAAAGTTACATGTACGATAGCCAATCAAAATCTGCACCATATTAGTCTGATGCTTTCTTACCCGCTCATCCTGAATTAGTAGGCAGTTAGGCACTTTCCAATAGGATCAGCTTTATTGTACAAACTCACTTGTATTTTCCATGTTATTTGCAGGGTATCTTCATTTTGGAAGCAGGAATCCTTTCCTCATAAGATGGATGAGCTGTAGGATTTGATTCTGTTCAGCTTGAATTAGTTTTTCATCATCATGTTCTTTGTATTAGGAATTCATGCCTTCCAGCTCTAATTTTTTCGCATTGTTGGTGTATGCTGGGAGTCACATTATTATGCTGCTAGCAAACAGTAGGATTGGAAGTCTTACTCTGTAGGTTAGTAATATCTTTTCCACTATACCGAGGTTCAGCAATTTAATTCGTATTAAGGTCACACAAGCAGTTTGGTTTTCAGATTTGTCTTGACAAACATATTTGGTTCAGCAATTTAATTCATATTAAAGTCACACAAGCAGTTTGGTTTTTAGATTTGTCTTGACAAACATATTTTGCGGATTATCCTCACATATGAAATTGATTTCTGCAAGTTCCTTTCACTTCTTATTTATTTCTTCACTTGGTTATGATGTACAGCTATTCGTTTTCATGATGATTCATGCGTTTTGTAGTTTTCACTGACAGAATCTTGTCTTGAAACAAGATTGGTTCCCATTGTTACAGTGAAGTAGCTACCAAGCAGCGAGGCCATCGAGTGACACGAGACCGCGGGACGGCATGAGAAGAAGCAGGGGGTGTCTGGCGGGATGGAGAAGACCACAGGGAAGTGTGGCGATGGAGTGCAATCCCGAAGAAGAAGAACATTGCAAAGAAGGACCCTGGCCAAGTGCCACCCAATTCTCTTTCACCGACCCATCTAATGGCCATCAATTCAATTGGTCCAAGCTATTGTGTTGACCTTCCCATTGATCCACTACATCCTCGCTCAGCTGGTCTGCTATGTTTCTTCTCCATGGCGTTGCTGGTTGCCAGCGTGCCTGACATCGCGCCTTATGTGACGTGACATGATGCTCCTCTACGTGTTCTTCTCACCCCGGTTTCCATGAGGAGAGATGTTGTTCTGTGGTTCTGTAGTTCTACTCCATAGCAATGATGGAGTCGCCTCCATATGGATATCAATTATCTCGGGATCATGGTGAGGTTACTAACTCGACCCTTTGTTTGGCTCTGTTCGTGTGGATCTATTCATGTGCATCTGTAAACTTTATTTAGGTACAAGTATTGTTCTAGCGCTTGTGTTTATTATTTTTGTAAAAATAAGATTTATTGATCTCATTAAATTGAGGTTTTATGTTCACATGAAATTCTAACTGAATTTGCTATTCAGCTGACAATTCCAACAATTTTTTGTATTGTATTTGCATGTAGAGAGCTGTCTACGCAACGGCCAGGGGGCATATGCTTCTCCTAGCACTAAGACCTTCATCCTATTTGAGCCAGAATGGCTTTGGTGCCCTCTCTCGCTCATGGTGAGGCCGTGATGGAGTCGCCTCCATATGGATAGCAATTATCTCGGGATCATGGTGAGGTTACTAACTCGACCCTTTGTTTGGCTCTATTCGTGTGGATCTATTCATGCGCATCTGTAAACTTTATTTAGGTACAAGTATTGTTCTAGCGCTTGTGTTTATTATTTTTGTAAAAATAAGATTTATTGATCTCATTAAATTGAGGTTTTATGTTCACATGAAATTCTAACTGAATTTGCTATTCAGCTGACAATTCCAACAATTTTTTGTATTGTATTTGCATGTCGAGAGCTGTCTACGCAACGGCCAGGGGGCATATGCTTCTCCTAGCACTAAGACCTTCATCCTATTTGAGCCAGAATGGCTTTGGTGCCCTCTCTCGCTCATGGTGAGGCCGTGCATGCTTGCCATGTTGTGGCTACGAAATCTCAGACTGAGTCGCTTCGGTCGGGCACTATTCAGGTACAACTCACTTTCCTCCACCATTGTTGGTTGCTGTGCATCACAGGCTTGACGAAATTTCCATGATGGTGTCGATCTTGCTCTTGCTAGACCCTCCTTGTTATAAATCATTATTGGATTCTAGCTAGGGCCTTAGGAATTGATGATTTCTCGATTGTATCGCTGAAAATGTAGTTCTTACAAGATTCTCATTGCCAAAATTGTTATGGCAGCATGAGTGAAAATATGTTCCTTTTAAATGCTTAGATTCTATAGAAACCTCTGATGTATATCCTAAATTACTGTATTGTGTGCTTTTGTAAAATAAACTGTATTGATTCAATTTATATATATGTAGTACAATGGTTTTGCTCACATCACAAATATCTAACGACAAGAGTGATTACTGAAAGCATAAAATATATTTCAATTTCTAGGCCGCTACATTATTTTGAAACATGAGCTTTTTTAAAACTGAGTGTTTGACGTAGCTTGTTGTTATTGTCAAAATGAAATAGCGAGTATATATTTGTTGCTTTTTGTTTAGGAAAGTGAAAAAAACAAGATGCCGTTTGTATGCCAGGAATGGCATATGTGAACGACTCAAGTGGTAGTTTTTAGGGTAGGGGCAAGGGGCATTTTTTATAAACTGCCATGGCAGTTCTTTAATTTAGTGCAATTTTTTGAGAAACAGCCATCCACAGGATCTTGATTGTGCGGTTATGTGTGTGTTCACTGGGACCTCATCACCAGGGAATGTTCGCGGGGTATTGTTCAACATGGCTCTAATGATTCAATCAAATTTCATTGCAAAGTATACTGGACCAGGCTTTCCTTCTTTCTAATGCGGTGTTAGTTGGCATTAAGTTGTGAAATCCAAATCCATACATTTACAGTTCTTGTTGTTCTAATTACACAAGTATTTTCACTTTTTTTTGTTAACTAATCTTCACACCGAACACCATCTCAGTAACCAGACCTGATATAGTAGTTAGTTTTGGCATTAGACACAACAACTTTGACATTGATAATTTCCTCATATATTTAGTAGGACAATAAACTTGTCTAGCATTTCATTATGAGTTGCAGGCTCTGAAAATAAATGTATGTGCCCCCTAAATGATTAAACGTGTGGTTTTGGAATTATGCATGCTGACATGCATTGGCAATCATTATTCAACAGTATTCCTTTTCACTGAAATATAACCATGTAATGCTTACGATTTAATCTGGTTATCTAGACAACTAAATGGGTTAATGTTATGCTTAGTATCTTTTGGCATATGTAATGCATGGAAGGAAACCAGTGTCTTTTGATAGGGATTTCTGGAGGTAACATGCCTCTGACTGTATGCACTGAATTTCAGATGCTCTGTTTAGAAGATGTCTTCTTCAGTAGTACTACATATTTTTATGATTTCCTGTAACTTGCTGATATGGCACTGGTTTGCCGCATGGTGTGCTACAACTACACTCCAGGGGAATATTTGTTCAGAATCTTCAATCTTGTAATTTTCTCCTTGATGACAATGACCATGCTGTGCTGGGGGATTTGGGATTCCATCCTTGCTGTTTGGACTTCCGCTGCCAAATCCAGATCTTATCCAAAGACGTGGGACTCCAAATTACATGCCCCAGAACATTGGCGACCAGACATCAGAGGCCCAATTAGTTACGAGACTGACTCATTGGGGTTTCGCTTGGAGCATTCTTGAGATGTTCAGTGGCGTTCAGACTTGGTGTGCCAAATCACCAGATGAGATTTATCAGTCAGTTGT